TTTGGCTGGAAAGCCCAAGAATGGTGGCAGATTTATTGGAAAGGCAAGTTGATAAAAGAAAAATAGTTAGCATAGATATCCAAGTTTTTCTCTCAAGATCCTTGCATCTGAGGAATTGATTGGACTGCCACATAATTGAAGAATTTTTATGGTCGTATGGCATATCTGAATCTATATAGTGAAGTCCTGAGAAGTCAATGAACTTTCATTAGAAGTGATGTCATTTGAACCAAGTTCTTTATGTAACCGTGTTCATGGTCTAGATCAAGGAGGATGCTTTTTTGTGGTTCATTTAATTTTTCTATCAGGTGGAAATTAAAAACCATGCGTTGTTTGGTGGTGTGTGTGGATGCAGGATTCGCGGGAGACATTTTATCCTTTCCAGTTCTTACTGTTCAGGTGAATGCAGGTTTGCAACTCATGTAGCTCAACTACATGTTTGCCTCTTAAAAGATAAAAACAAAAATATCAGTCAGTTAAAAAGCTGAACACGCTCTTGTTAATCTTTTATATAATTGCTTTTGTACACAGTGTTGTCATAGACGACTCTTAGAGCTGAACTAATTACCTAATAGAAATAATGGAAGACAAATATTTAGCTGTAACTATCATGTTTTTTAATTAACTGGTGGGAATTTCACAGGTCAGATGCATGTAGCCCTATAAAAAGTAATATTTCTATGGACATACAACACTAGTAGTTAATACAATGCTCAAATCTTTTCTTATATGCCACACAAAATTTTTCCAGTCTATTGAAATTCATATTTTAAAATGGTCGCTTATTACTTACTAACATTCTAATACGTGCTCTATTGTTGCATCCCATTATGAGGAAGCTTTACACACATAATTAATTGATGAAACTGATATGCATGCTCTTAGGAACTGAGCATACTCTCTCCTCTTTATGCATATAGTACTTTTGACTTGTATTTGACACTTGTAGGTGGGTATGGTGTTGCAACGGGTGGTCCTCTTGCATGGGGACTGTGCTATAACCATGAGATGAGCCCAAGCCAGTCATACTGTAAGGATGATGACAATCTTTACAAGTGCACCCCTGGTGCTGAGTATTACGGTCGTGGTGCACTGCCCGTCTACTGGTATGTTTAACTCTAGTTTCCCTCTCTTTTCAACTTTTTTTGTTGCACTGTTTTGGAAAGCAATTTGAAGGGTTGATAAAATAGAGACAACCCCCTATCCTTCGCATGAGCGACGAAAAAAACCCGCTTAAGTGACAAATTGACCCCACACCTTCAATTTCTAAAAATTAAACTTAGAGGCAAATCTATGATCATACATATGCCAATTTTATGTACTACATAAACAATTGATGAGTATTATACTAAAAGTTAATGGTTACATCTAAAAAAGTGATGATTATTTGACTAAAAATTTAAAGCGAGGGGTATCCTGTCATTCTTGAACATGCCAGATATTTTGTAATTCACCTGTTTTCCTTTTTTTACAACATTGGTTTTTGGTTCTCCGACAATAAAGAAACATAGTATAAATTTGCTTTGCTCCTAATCAGGAACTACAACTATGGCATTATTGGCAACGGCATCAAGGCTGATCTTCTAAACCACCCCGAATACCTAGAACAAAATGCAACTCTAGCTTTCCAAGCCGCTATGTGGCGTTGGATGACCCCAATTAAAAAAAAGCAGCCCTCAGCCCACGAGGCATTTGTCGGTACTTGGGAACCCACAAAGAACGACACAGCATCAAAGAGGTTCCCTGGATTTGGCGCAACCATGAACATTCTATACGGAGATCAACTCTGTGGTAATGGCTTTGCTGATGACATGAACAACGTTATATCTCACTATCAGTATTATCTTGATCTTATGGGTGTTGGCCGAGAGGAATCTGGAGATAATTTGGATTGTGCTGAGCAAGTTGCCTTCAATCCTTCTTCAAAGTCTGAGAGCTCTTAAGCAGTTATGAAGGTAGAGAATGGCGCAAAATAAATGGGTATTCGATATTGTTTGAGTGAAGCTTTTTATTGGATGTTTTGGAAGGATAGTATGTATCTTCCTGCGTAACAAGTTGATTTGTTTTATATTGCTATCTGTAGATGTTGAATATTTGGGAATATTATTTTATGTATCATGTGAGAAATTGTAATATACACTTCCATATTCTTTTTGTTTGAAAATATATCCGTATTCTCAATTTGGTGCTCTGTGAATCAAGTGTCTTCACATTTTACCCTCGCTGCTTTTTAGTTTAAGATTGTATCATTTTGTATCTTATGCATGTTGGGCTCCTTATTTTTTGTATGTTCGGTCGCATGTTACCACCGTTATTTTTAGTGTAAAAATTGTGTCATTTGCTATCTTATGCATGCTGGGCTCCTTATATGTTGTAGCGTGCGCATCACTACCATAGATTTCCTGGAAAATTACTACCATAGATTTCCTGGAAAACGATGTACGACACAGCAAAGGCAACTAATCAGTTTGAATACGTGAAATTGTGTGAATATAATCAATAAGGTTTATCAGATAAGCAATATGATAACAAATAGGGTCACATCATAAAATAATTGGGATCCAGTTAGATGTGTGTTATAACCCTTCAATTAGGGGTGTCCAAATAGGTCTGAGGCCGGGGCCGGGTCCGATGCGTGACCCTGACCCGGCCAAACTGGGTTCCAGGACCGGGCCTGGGCCGATTTGTCGGCGCCCGCACCGGCCCGGCTAAGAGAACGGTCGGGTCAGGATGGCTAGGCCGGGTTCGGCCAAAATGGTCACCTAGGTGACCATTTGGTTGTTAAGGCCGGGCCGGGCCGGGCCGGGCCGGTGGTAACAGCAAAAAACGGCCATCTTTGGCATTTTGACCAAAATACCCCCAAAACAGTTAAAAAAGGGTCAAAATTTGAGGGTATTTTGGTCATTTGTCTAGGGACTGCCTCTATAAATAGAGGAGATTTTTATTTATTTTTCTCATCCAAAACTCATCTACTTCTGTCTAATACTCTTTTATACTCTCTAATACTCTCTTTTCCTTTATAATTCTTCAATCAAATGACTTCCTCATCTGATTATGAAGGGCAAAACCTAACTCTCAATCTTGAAATGAGTCCTCCTACTACAGGAGCTACAACTACTCCTCCTACTCCTACTGATGTTGATCCCGACTCCGGTGGCAACGATTCTACACCAAGAGCTCCTTAAAGGCCAAGATCCGATGTGTGAAATTTTTTCAAGAAGATAGACATCATTAGGGATGGACACGATAGGCTTCTCTCCCAGAAGGCTAACTGTGCGTTGAACGGCCATATTTTTCAAGCTCATCATAAAAGCGGCACCAACCACCTCAAATGCCATTTAGATAAACACAACAAAGGTCAGACGCCTCAAGGTGATATCCGACAATCTTTACTCTCCCAATCCTTATCTTTTGGTAGTCTCGGTAATTGGAATTATGACGCAATCCGAGCTAGGAAATACGTCATCAGGTTTATTATTCTTAAAAATCTTCCTTTTAAATTAGTAGAAGATGATAAATTTAAAGATATGTTTACAGATAGTTTTTATCCCGCATTTAAAAAAATTTCTTGTCAAACTTATCAACGTGATATTTTAAAAATTATCAGGAGGAACAAGCAAAAATAATTTTTTATTTACAAAGTTTAAACTATAAATTTTCTTTAACTTCTGATATTTGGACATCTAAAGCACAAACTGGTTATTTATGTATCACAGCACACTGGATTGATGATAATTGGCAAATGTTTAAAAGAGTTATTTCTTTTATTGCATTTGAAGAGTCACATACTGATATTAATATTACAAATTTAATAATTGAAGAACTTACAAAATTAGAAATATCAGAAAGAATATTTTCTCTTTCACTAGATAATACAAGTAATGATAATGTAGCTGTTGATTATATCAAAACATCTCTGCTATTGCCATGTCATGGTGATATTTTTCATATTAGATGTGTGTATCATATTTTAAATTTAATTGTTCAAGTACATTTGGTGAATTAAATCCATGATAGAAAATTTTAGGACAGTAGCTTATGCTCATAATGCTTCTGAGCAAAGAATTAAAAGATGGAAATAATTTTATAAAAAAAATTTAAAACCCAAACTAATTCCAAAAGATGTTGACCATAGGTGAAATTGTACCTATGCAATATTAAGTGTAGCAATAGAATATAAAGAAATTATAAATAATTTTATTACTTTCTATACTTCTAGTTCTAGCTTTGGTAATATGTATGGAATAACTGAGGATGAATGGACAGTTATATGTAATTTAAAAGAGATGTTATAAATTTTTTATGATACTACTATGTTATTATCAGGATGTTATCATCTAACCATTACTTTAGCTGCTTTACAAGTTTTAAATATTCAATTTTTTAATAAATATCGTATGGATAATTATTTTAGAAATATAATTTTTTCAAATGAAAAGTAAATATAATAAGTATTTTATACCTATTCCTATTATTTTTTGTTTGGGAGTTCTTATTGATCCATGTTTGAATGATATTGGCATTCGAAGTTTGTTAAATTCTTTGTATGGTAGTATGATAATAGACACTGATGATGATCAAACCGTTACTGCTCTTACTCATCATAATACTATTAGAAATTATTTTTAAATATTATATGATAAGTATGCAGCTAGATATGGTGTAACTACACATCAGTCTATAGGCACTTCTGCTTCTATGAGCTCAAGTCGGGGCAAAAGTGTGAGTTTTGATAGGGAATCAATGGTAGCTGAGCTAACTGGTGGATCTGAACTTGGATCATCAGTAGAGGTTTCTGAAATTCATTAATATTTAACCGCATCTTTAGTATATGGAAAGTATATGGAATAGTTTTATATCCTATACTTTCCATCATGCCTCGTGACTTACTAACAGTGCAGGTTTTCATGATAGCTTCAGAATTCACCTTCAGCACAACAGAATGTTTGATCGACGATAACAGAACATCATTAGATCCGTATACCGTCATGCGGTAATGTGCCTACAAGATTGGTAGAGGTACGAGAAGAGAACGCAATGCATCGATCAGATGGCTGGTATTGAAGATAAATTTTAAAAGTTAGGACTAGCAGATAGATATAAAGAGTGGACATTATTCATCAAATTATAATTTTTATTTCTTAGCTAAAAAATTATAATAAATTATTTTGGAAACAGTTGTAAATGATAGTGATATAGATGAGTAGGTGCCAACCTAGTTGGTATGTATTCATCTATTGTGATGTGACGTATTCCAAAATAAATTTATAATTGTAGATGATCAATCAATTATTAAAAAAAACTTATTTTTATCATATTAATTTTTATAATTTTTTGTATTTGTAAATTATGTAATTACAAGTGATTAATAATATGATTGTTTTTAGGGAAAAATGTGTCTAGACCCCCAAAAAATAAAGGGGATGTGACCCAACCCCTCAATGTTTTTCCCATGTTCTTTAACCCCAAAAACCCAAAAATGTGATCTGACCCTTTTTCACACTCTCCCATAAATCAATCCAAAAATGTTCCGAAAATACCCCTTTCCCTTCTCTTCTTCTTCTCTGTTTCGTTCTCCTCCTCCTCTCCCCTAACTGCTCATTTCTCATGTTCTTCTTTCCTCCTCCTCTCTGCATCGCCGTCGACGGTGGTCTCAAGACCGACAAGCAGCACCGTCTCGATTGTCCACAACCGTCAGCGATCTATGACCCTAACCGACTCAACGCGTTCCAGTGCGCGAATCAGAGAGATCGTCAGGGGCACCGTGGTAGAGTGCGCGTCGATCTACTGTTGCGTCCCCTTCAGCATCATTAACCTTGTCATCTATTCGATGGTGAAGCTGGTGAAGCTGCCGGTGGCGATCTGCCAGCGAGCACACATGAAGAGACGGAGGTGGCAGATCACCGCGATGAGGAAGAAGGCGACGGTGGAGGCGACGTCGATCTGGTTGAGCTTCGATCTTGACAACAGAGAGAGCGTGAGGATGAAGGAGGAGTGAGGGATTCTTGCGGTGACGGCTCCGTCGTCGGAGGTGGCAGCATTAGAGGAGGAGATGTGGACGAGTTTTTTGAGATGAGGTTTGGGAGGAGTCTATCGTAAAGGGAAGATATGTGTAAAAGTAATTAATTAAGTTTAAAAAGAGGGGGTTAATGGACAAATTTAATAGTGGTGTTTTTGTGATTCTTTGTTAAGAAAGAATTTAATTGTTATGTAGATCTTTGATAATGTACGTAAATTTTTGAACTAAAATTTGATGTGTTTGAAAGACTGAAAGTCCCTCAAGATGATTCATCATTGATATATAAATCTGAGAGGCACCCGAATCTGAGTATTTTTGTTGATAGTGAAGATGATTTGAAGTGCATAGTAGGGTATAATCGAAATAGTGTTAAGTATCATAGCTATATGTTAACTTTTACCAGAACATGTTAACTATAATAGTTATATGTTAAATAGTGTTAAGTATCATAGCTATATGTTAACTTTTACCAGAACATGTTAACTATAATAGTTATATGTTGACTTTTAACAGAACGTGTTAACTTTCCACTATAATAGTTATATGTTGACTTTTAACAGAACGTGTTAACTTTCCTCCTAGTCTGTTAACTTTTCATATTGAATGTTAACTTTCGCTGCTTTATGTTAACTTTCATCCAAACCTGTTAACTTTCATTGCTTTATTTTTGTAGAAGCGTTTAAAAAAAGCTATGTCCAAGTCTTTTATCTCATCCTAGATTATAAGTCTAATCATATCGTGTATTCAAAGAATATCAGTTGTAAGAATGTAAATTTTTTATTATGGTGAGCTGTAGGCTGTCTAAAAATCACAATAGATAGCTTATCCTCCATCAAACACCGATGATGGAAGTTACAATCTGACGACTTCCAGAAGGCTACAATTTGAAGACTTTCACATAGATCGCTGAAGGTTACAATCTGACGACCTTCACGACAACCGATGAGAGCTTTAGTTCAACAGCATTCACAATCAACATCGGGAGTTACAATCTGACGACTCTCATATTCTCAAGGAGCCAAGACGAAGATTACAAGACAATGATCTTTGCAACGCTATGACAAAAAGAGATTACTTGGTGATAATCTCTGCAAGGCAAGACGCGGAGGTCCTCCCCGTATTTCAACATCAAAAAACGCCAGGGTCGAAACCCGCGTTTCAACATAAAAAAA